TGGATGCTAAATCCAAAATGTTAGGTGATACGACAAAACTAACAGGACTTAAGAAACAAAGAACTCCCGCTCATCTGGTTGAACCACTACTAAATATCCCCATGCTGCTGATCACAAATATGGTATATAACATGTGAACACTGTTATATATTACAGACTGTGATAGACAATTTGCTCCAGGAAAGTTAGAATGAACTTGTGACTTTGAAATTATGTAATCACTTAATCACAATCAAAAAAAAAAGAACCTCGGGGAAGGGAGGGAGGGAGGGGATGGTAGGGGGAAAACAATGGAGGGGGTAACAATGTTCAAGAGGAAGTGTACTCAATACCTCACTCATGTAACTGTAACCCTCTGTATAGTATCTTTACAATTAAAAAATAAAATAAAATAAAATAATGCTGAAAAAGTAGTAAAATATGCCAGGGACTACCATCACAAACAAAAACCTCCACTTTCTCTGTTGGACAATTTATTGTTTGGACTTATTTCTCTCTTTGTACTTAAGTTGCTCACTGTCTACAAGAAAAACACTAAGCACTTAAAAAGGCAGAAATAGTTTTAAGGCTTGGCCTCATCACTTAGTAAACAAAGATCTTTAAATCCAATATAGAAGTTTATAAGGCTTAAACCTGAGTGGAAGGACTCTTATGAGGCAGCAAAATGCATAAGCAATTTTAAAACATTGTATTTCAATGGCCCTGAGTCCTATCTATCTACCTGAGGCCTCAAACCAAAACCCTCTGGCCTCAACCTCCGAAGGAGCTAGGATTACAGGCCTGTGCCACCAGGCCCAACTCTGTCAGGTACTATTCCAAAAGCTTTCCTTTAGAAAAGATTTTTATTTAGAATGAACTACTGTGCTGACTTCATAATGATTTTCATTTTACAGATAATAAAATTAAGCAGAAGTTGTTACAAGCCAGGGCAGACAGGGATTCAAATTTCCATTTCTATATTCACTGACAGTATTAACCATCTAGGATAATACAAATAAATACAAAAGTCAAAACTACTTAGTGACTTCTGCAATGAGTTACTCAACCTGAACTATACCTCCTTTCCAAAACTGAAAACACTCTAGCCATCAGATATCAGGCAAAACACTCTTATTGAAGCAAAGTATCATGTATAAGGCACCAAACAAAACGCCACACTATCACATAAACCAGGGTCCATATTAAAATCATGGAGACAGTGATACCTCTGTATGTTCTTACATAGCTAATAGTTTTTACACCTGTCAAAGGGTTGTAAGGAAAAGAATTGGCAAGAAAGAACTGAGGATATAGCTCAGTAACAGAGCACTTGTCTAGTAAAGGTGAGGCCCTGGGTTCAATCCCAGGGCAAGTAAAAAGAATTGGCAACAGCAGAGCCAAAAAAAAAAAAAAAAAATGTTTCTTTACCAAAAAAATAAAAAATTACTCACCCTTGACCTAAGCTACTGGTAGGGAGTGGAGTGATACCTCCCCAAGCCCTCCTCTCCCTATTTCCAGCTTTTTCTGTTTATGTGGTACTGAGGAATTGAACCCAAGGATTCATGCATGCTAGGCAAGGACTCTAACACTAAGCCACATTCCCAGCCCTTCCTCTCCCTATTGTAAACAGTTAACACATAAGTAGTTATGCTGTAAATAGTTAATTTGTAAAATAAGAAAAAACATCCTATCATCTATGCTGATTCTAGGAGGGTTAACAGTGGATTTCCTTAGACTCAGACCAGAAGAAAAACCTCCTGAACCTCACCTCCCACAAAAGGGCAAAAATGGTTTCCGCTCACCAGAAGGTGGCAGTAGGTTCTTTCAAAGGCAATTTCTGGTTTGCCTATGGGCTCAAAAATTTTTTGTGGGGCTATTAACAACAGCAAACAGCTTGTTAGCTGCTCCCCCCAAAAGATAAACTAAACAGCTTACAAGAATTAACCACATTAACCACATTCTCCTTAGCATAGTGTTCAGTCTCAACTAGAAAAAGTAAACCACTCCTTATAACTGTCTGGATAGAAAAGAATGAACAAAAAAGACAAATGAAAATTATTCCTTCTAATTTTTTTTAAAGATATTCGGTCCCTTCAGTTAGGTAAGCAACAAGTTCAAGATGACATTTATAAAGATCAGCAATTAAAAGGAGAAAAATGATAGGTTTTAGACATTTCCCAGCAGAGGTAAACCAAAGTCTAAACAGGAAATTGCAAACCAGCTGAACACATGCAGAAGTCACAGGTACCGGTGACTGCACTAGCTAATTGGACTGCACTAGCTTAAGTGGCCTGATAGGCAATGGCAAAGATCCATACCTTACACTGCCAAACCTCTCATTCTTTTTCCAACTTCTACTCTCTCTCTCTCTATAGATATACATGTATATAAACCAAAAGCTTCATATTACCTGCCCCCCAAATGGTTGGACACTTAACAAGTGCATTCGTATTAAACATGCCATGTCATGAAGCTCCCTGCTATGCATGATGACTCAGCAGCTGCTGCAAAACATCCAATTGACAACCTAGGCTAGTAAATAGCAATTGGGTCCACTGAAGTTGCAGTAACTGGACTAAAAAACGTCCTGGTTTTTAGGATGGGAAGGGTGTAAGTCAGCAAAATTGGATGATCATTTTATATATTCCTGAATAATTTCCTTTGGTAGTTTTGTCCAGTATTGAAAAATACTGCAATGTGGATCAAGAAACCCCTACACATCTTTTAATCCCAATTCAAAAGCTAAAATATATTTTCTCTTGTAATTATGAAACTCTCAATTACAAAACTTTTTTCTATATGTGGCACGAGATGTAAAAAAGAAAAGTGATTGATTCTTAGAAGAAATAAAAAGCGTGTATGTCTAACTTCTATTCTGCAATATTAAATAGCCAGGCTTGTGGCCTGTATTCTTATCTGAAATCTGTCTAATACTTTGCTGTTCCTCATAAAAACAGAAAACTGAGCATTCAGTACATATCTGCAAGTGGGATTATCCCAAACCTGACATGGCAGGAACTACTTAAAACAAAAAACCACTTTTATTATTCAAAACTTTCTCCCAAATCTTTACTTTTAAAATGTTTTTATGATAACAAAACGTTAATGCATTATATTATCCAGAATAAAAATAAGAAGTCTAAACAATATGCAACAAGTCACCAGACCTTTTTAGTATACTTGTTTTAAACAAGTTTAAGTTAGATGTACACTTCCTACTTTGGGATCATTCAGAACTGTTACAAATGGCTTCACTGCAATTATTTTAGCCTTTTTTCTTAATCCTAAAAAGCAACTTTTTAAAATCGTCATTTTCTCAGACTCAAACGTGTCCTTTACAACTAGGATAAACTACTTTTTGTAAAGATCCATGAATGCATATGGTGGCTAAATTATAAGATCACCAACCGACTTGGCATATCCACAGTACCTATACTTCAAGAATATGCCCCATATTATTCAAGCATTGTGAATATGCGATCAGAGCTGGAGACCTGGTCAACCGTGGAGAATGGCCGATTGCGGCCTCCAAAATAAAGGGGAGGAGAGAATCAGGGAGGGGAAGTCACGCAGCAGAGCATAGACGTATGGGTGGAGAGGGACTTTTAAAACGCCCCAGTGCCACGGTAAAGCACAACCCAGTTGGGGGGGAGGGCGAAAAAAAAATCAAAGGCAATGTTTTCGTTTGAGAGGCCCAGGTCGGGGGGGAGGGGGGTAGAGTGAGGGGGGGTGGGGGGAAACCGAGAATTCCTTAATAGGCTGAGACTAAGTTATTCCTCTTTCCGGGTAACAGCGCCTCCCGCTCTGCGTCCCAAAGGCAGATTTACTCCATCATCAGTTCCCCCTCCCCAGACAAACTTGAACACCAACAGCAGAACGAGAGAAGAAAAAAAATTACCAAACTAATTTAAAAGACAATCTGAGGTGCCTCCAACCATAGCTTCCCCCTCCTCTCCCCCCACCCCCCCGAGAAAACCTAACAGCGACCCGCCGAAAGAAAGGAAGAAAGAAAGAAAGAGACTCTCTCAAGCCTGGGATTTCTTTTCCCGCCCAGCGTCCCGCCGGGGAGAGCCCCTCGGCCTGAAGGCTGGAGCCACACGTGTGCGCCCGGCCGGTCTCAAACCCACTTCCGTCGCCACCACCTCCCCCCCCGCCCTGCGGCCTGAGCTCCCGCCGCCTCACTCGGGCCTTTCCCGAGGTCCTCCAGTCCGCTCCACGTGGGGCGCCGCGGCGGCCCCCCCCTCCCCAACACACGCCCTGATGACTTCCCGACCCCGCCGCTAGGCCACGGTGGTGGACCCCGTACCTGGTGCTGTGGTCGCCCCTGCTGGTAAGGCTTAATTGGCCCCTGGTGGCAGCGCCGCGTCCGGATCTTGCCGCCACCGCCCCCTCCTATTCCTCCGGCTCCGGAGGCCATGGCGGAGCCTGGGCGTCTTCCCGCTCACGGGCGGGAGAGGCAGAGGCGGCGGCCTGGAGGCCGCCCCCGCCCGGCCCCGGCCACCAAGTCCGGCGGCGCTGGCCCACCCCGTAAGGCACAGACCGACACACCGAGGACCGCGAGGGTGCGAGCGGGAACCGAGAGCGCGCGCACGCCGGCGGGCACGGAGGGAGGCGGCGGGTGAGGCCGGCGGTCGGGCTCCGCTCCGGCCACCTGGCGCGGCCCGGCGCGCCGGTGTTTGTCACGGTCTCTATGGAGATCTCTCGCGGGCGGCTCGAGCCGTTCCAGGCGCTGCTGAGGCCTAACTCGACCGCCGGCTGATGGAGGTTCTTCTTCCGTCGCCCTAGCCGTCGCTGCCGCAGTTGAAGCCGCCGGCGCCGCCTACTCCTTCCCTCCCCACCCCTCCCCTCCCCTCCCCTCCCCTCCCCTCTGCGCACAGCGCCCGCCCCGCCGCCGCCGGCGTCGTCGTCCCTGCAGTCGCCGCCGCGGTTGCGCCTATTGCCGCTGCTAAGGCCGCCGCCGCGGTCGCGAGCCAGGGCTACGTCACCCGTCGGCGCCCGGCGCGCCTGTATCATCACGCTGCGACTGGGTGACAGGCCGAGGAAAGAACGGCTGGTGGAGCCCGCGCTCTTAGCCGCGCAGCTCGCTGGGAGACGTAGTTCCGCGCAAGAATACGGATTCTCAGAAGGGCACACAGACGCGGAAGGACATCGCGCAGCGCTGCCGGGCACAAAGCCCGGACTCGTTTGTTGGCTGTAAATTTAAATTCTAAAAAGGCATTTAGGGCTTAAAAGGTAACGTCTTTCTCTGCTTCTTTTCATCGGTTAGGTGAGCAGATATAAAGTAAACCGTAAAATCAAACACTAGAGCTAGTGGTCAATTTATTAAAATAGAACAACAACAACAAAAAAAAAAACTAGTGAATAAACAATGTTCACGATCCTTAGGCCTAAAGCAGAACTCCAAACTATATGCAGCTTCATTAATCGTTCATTAGACATATAAAGGCTAGAATTCTGGCTTCACTACTCTTTGACCTTGGATGACTCAAACCCTGAGCCTTGACTCTTTTCTCTATACAATGGAAACTTTAATATACACCTCATAAAGTTGCGGTGGAAATTAGATATAAGCAACCAGGCTGAGCACTTAGTATGTCTATTTCATGGTATGCCAGAAATGAAGTAAATGGCTACAATTATAACCCATGTAGTCAGTTCACATTAGGGGTAACTAATATAGTCCTGGTAATAAAGTATACAAGTAGAATACATTCCAAATAGAAAGCATTGTATTTCGGACAGTAAATACTGTGAGCTAGACTCAAAGACTGAATCCACAAATTGTACCTTGCAGGAGTTAATAGAAAGGTCTGGATATGGTCGGCCCAGCTCTACCCTCTCCTTCAATCGGCAAGAAATAAAGCCCAGGAATGTAGGTGGCACAGTAAGTAGAGAAGTCAAATCAAATACTGTACCCAAATTTTCTACCAGAGTTAAAACAAGTAGATAAATAATTAGGAGAAGATTCTACTGAGAAAAACTATAGACTTTTTCATTTGAGATAATTATTTTAGTTTATCATAATTTTGGAATGCTACATAATTGAAATCTATCACTTACTAGCTGTATGGCCTTGGGAAAGTTACTGATCCTCTTTCTAAGCTTCAATTTTCTCATCTGCAAATAGAATAAATATTTACCTCAATAGGGCAGTGCTTTTGCTGAAAAGGTTAATGTATATCTAGGTCATGATCATTCTCTCCACAGGAAGCATATAATATCAATCAGAAGGCCGGGCGCTGGTGGCTCACGCCTGTAATCCTAGCTACTCAGGAGGCTGAGATCTGAGGATCGCAGTTCAAAGCCAGCCCGGGCAAGAAAGACCGTGAGACTCCTATCTCCAATAAACCACCAGAAAACCGGAAGTGGCGCTGTAGCTCAAGTGGTAGAGCGCTCGCCTTGAGCTGAAGAGCTGAAGGACAGCGCCCAGGCCCAGAGTTCAAGCCCCACGACCGACAAAAAAAAAAAAAAAAAAAAAAATATCAATCAGAAGTCAGCTACAAATAATGTGCTCTCTGTTACAGTCTCACCCCCAAATCACACAATCCAACTCACTATTTAAATCATTAATTAAATTATGAAACCAATTTAACAGAGCTTTGAACTTGGAATACCACTCAGCACCTAAACTTTAGGTGGAGAACATTCTGGTACATGGTAAAATAAACATATGTTCTTCTTGATGGCTGCAATAGACATCTGCCTGTATTGACAATTTTGTATGGCCTTGAATGATATTATAAATGTTCAATGGCTCTAAACAAAAGTTTCCCAACACTGAAAGAATCATGCATGCTATACTACGTATAAGCTACTTCTGACCACAATCACCAAGACATTTTGCTAAAGGTGATATAACTACTTGTTCTCCTGTTTCATGCCCTTTTCCCCACCATTACCTGGGCTCTACACTCTCTTCCGTATGTTCTCTTCCTAGATAAGACCTATATTTGGATCTCCAAATTGGGCTACATATATAGGAGACTGAAAGGCCACATCCCATCTTCCTTTTTCACCCTCCAGAAACAAGATTTCCAGCACAGGAAATTATCTCCTTCTTGGAAGGGACATCCCTCAGAACCAAACTCTGAAAGGAACAGATCTGTAAAATAATTTGCCTTGAGCTGGGTTTGGTGGGTCATGCCTGTAATCTCAGTATTAGGGAAGTTGAGGCAGGAGGGTGGGAAGTTTAAGATCAGTCTGGACAATATAGCAAATTTGAGGGCATCCTGGGCCACATAGGAAGTAATAAGTAATAATAAAAAAAAATTGCCAAACCTTGTTTTGTTTTGTTTTGTCAGTTTGTGGGGCTTGAACTCTAGGCCAGGGCGCTGTCCCTCAGCTCTTCAGCTCAAGGCTAGTGCTCTACTACTTGAGCCACAGTGCTAATTGGTGGCTAATTGGAGTTAGTCTCATGGATCACCTCCTGCCCAAGCTGGCTTTGAACTGCAATCCTCAGATCTCAGCCTCCTATGTAGCTAAGATTACAGGTGGGAGCCACCTCACCCACCTTAGCTAAAATGTAAGAATCAAAGATTTGTAGAATCTGAGAAGACAGGGAAGACTCAACATCCTTCTTAGGATCGTTCTCAGTTATTTACCCCATTTCACAAGTAGTTAGTTCACTGAACTAAAGCAAAATTTTGGGCTGGGAATGTAGGTTAGTGGTAGAGCGCTTGCCTAGCATGCAGGAAGCCCTGGGTTCGATTCCTCAGTACCACATAAACAGAAAAAGCTAGAAATGGCATTGTGGCCCAAGTGGTAAAGTGCTAGCCTTGAGCAAAAGAAGCTCAGGGACAGTGCTCAGGCCCTGAGTTCAAGCACCAGGATTGGCAAAAAGAAAAGAAAAAAGAACTCTAAAGGCTAGAGATATGGCCCAGGGAAAGAGGCATTTTTCTTTTTCTTTCTTTCTTTTTTTTTTTCCAGTCGTGGGGCTTGAACTCTGGGCCTGAGTGCTGTCCCTCAGCTCTTCAGCTCAAGATGAGTACTCTACCACTTGAGCCACAGTGCCACTTCTGGTTTTCTGATGGTTAATTGGAGATAAAGTCTCACAGACTTTCCTGCCCAGGCTGGCTTTGAATCGTGATCCTCAGATATCAGCTTCCTGAGTAGCTAGGATTACAGGCATGAGCCACCAGTGCCTGGCTGGAAGAAGCCTTATATAGGATACACCCTAAGGTTCAATACCCAGCACCACAAAATGTATCACCAGAATTAAGAATGCCCAAAATATTAAGAGCCTAAAATGAAATATTAATCATTAAATACTGAGTACATATATTAAAAATATTTATTAATTTCAAAATGTCCTTCATTCTTTTCATTTAGAATTAGTTCAGGAGTAACAAAAGCATAAGTATAAACCAAAAATCAAGAAGCTACAAGCAGAGAGAAATTCAGCCCACTTGCATAGAATTGTAAATGGTTTTTAATCTTAAAAAAATATTTTTAAGAAGGAAGTGCTCTGAGAGGAATATTTTCTTGGGTCTGAGCTAGCATCTCTTCTAGAATGCTAGATGAATAGTCAGACAACTTGGAATAAAATCTATAATTTCTTAAATAACTTAAAAAATTGCAAAGGCAAAAATCACAGTAGCTTTCTACTTGACAGATCAGAAAAGAAAACCAAATAGTTTGCTGGCTTCTAGTAATTTAACTTCATATAGGTTCTATGAAACTAGACAATATTCAGATGCAGTATTTTCTCTAAAAATTATTTATGCAAAAGTTTGATATGATAGACATGATGGTCTTAATATTCCCCATATCTGGTCATCAGAATATTCTTTCCTCAACATACCTACAGTTCTATTGCAAGGAAGATCTAAAACTGGTGTAAAATGCCAAAAGTGAAAGTTTATGCTAAAAGGATCACATTCATTTCCTCATTTAGCCAAAATAGTGACACATTTACTTATATGAACACTTACACATCAAGACAAAATAATCAGATAACCAAAGATTCTGAAAAGATCAAGCTTATGAATTCCTACAATAATCAGTAAGTAAGAGTTGATGGGATCATAGTTTATAGAGCATGTAGATTTTTCTTTTTATTTAATCTATGGTAAATTAAACAGTTACTATTTTCATTAAAATAGTATTTTTACTATTTACCCAGCACTTATGTATGGCCCAAGACTGCAGGATGGCTCACCTTATTTGAGACCATTATAAGAGAAGGAGGATATCATGAGCTACTAGAAATAGGGTTCTTCAAACCAAAAAAGTAAACAACAAAGAACTTTTCAAGTATTCTATAAACCAAAGGTGAATGAAGTATCATTCTACATTCTACATATTAGAGTCATTCTACATATTATTATAGGCCCATTGCCAAGCAAACAAAAGGAAACTCACTGTGGAAAACCTACTTACCCAGCCAGGGAAAACAATCTCTATATAGAAAGGTTGCATATGTGCTTTAAAGTGTCAAAGCAGACCATAGATCTCCACAGAGGCCAGAAACAACAAATTGCTTTTACCAGTCACAGCTAAACCCAAGCCATGCCTTCAGTGCTTTAAGTTAGTAACCACTTTGTCTTCTGTGTAGATCAGCAGTGACTCCTAATCACATACTACAAAATGCACTGCCAATAACCCATCCTTTCAGCTGGAGCTGAGACCAATGCTAGCATCTTTCTGGCTAACATATTCCTGGCCTCATACTAGAGTCACACAGAACGCAGTTGCTCTGAAAAGTAGTGATCTGCTGCTGAGATTGAGGGAGCCAATCTACAAAAGAAGTAGGCAATCAGGAAGGAAAGCCACTTTTCTCTTCCCAGGCTATCTGTTGAGATTTTCCTCTCTTTCTCTCTCTGCTCCTTATCCTGCGCATCTACCTTATTCATCCACAGACGTTAGCCACACTCCTCCTCTCAAGAGTTGGCCTTGACTTTTTCCCTCGTGATGTTCTCCATCACTAACTTTTGTACAAAGCCCCCTGAAAAGTATTCAAACCTGAGAGAGAAGAAAAGATGCAACAGTTCTGAGAAGCTTTCTGTCCTAGTTTTGGAATTTAGAAAATTAGAAGGACTAGTTCTCCCTCTGCTTTAAACAAGACAGGTCAGATCATTTGTTTAAATTTCCCCTGGCAGTGTTCTACTGAAAACTTAGAAAAGCAAGAGGAAAGGTTGAAGAGGTGATGTAAGAGAAGAGAGGGAGATGGCTACAGGGAAGGCTAACTTTAAAATCTGACAAATAGTCACTACATGCATTTTTGAAAACAATATTCAAAAAAAAAATTCAGCCAAGTTCATGGCTGACCTGAACTCACCTTTGGTGTATTTTCAAGTCAGTTTTATGGGTCCAGATTGGTTCCTTGTAGACCCAAATTCAAAAACTGTGAAACAAACAGAGGGATGAATAACAGCTCTCAGGAATGGTGCTACGGAAGCCCAGAGTGTCACTTCCTAGTGTCATAAATAATGAAGGACTAATAAATAATACACAGGGAAGAGAAGACCCTCCTTCTTATCTCTCCATGTCTCCCTAGTGCCAGGCACAAATTAAATACATCTTGAATGGTTGAATGCTTATTCATACAATGTTTTGCAATTCTTATTTTTCTTACACAAATCTCTGCATTTGGAAAAAAATACTTCAAAGTAAATTTTGTTAAAATTACCTTTTATTGTTAAAATACTTTCATTTTATTTTTATTTTATAGTGCTGGGATTCAAATCTAGGCTTAAGTATACCAGGCAAATGCTGAATACTAAGCTACAACCTCCTCAGAACCCTTTCCTTTAAGACATAATGTTCCTTAGGCTATGAACTAATTGCCATGTCAGAGGTAAATAGTAAAATCACTTATGTAATCAGATCAACATAATTCTCCCCTGAGGGATATTAGCAAAATAGGAGCTGTGAACTAAAGACAGAAAGATATGACTATACTTTGAAATTAGACCTTCAGCTGGGTGCTTGTGGCTCAAGCCTGTAATCCTAGCAACTCAGGAGGCTGAGATCTGAGGATCATGGTTAAAAGCCAGCCTGGGCAGGAAAACCTGGAAATGGCACTGTAGCACAAGTGGTAGAGCACTAGCCTTGAGCTGAAGAGCTGAGGGACAGCACCCAGGCCCAGGGTTCAAGCCCTACAACTGACAAAACAAAAATAGACCTTCAAAAATAACATTCAACCAATATTTACTATATCCCCACCATGTGTTCTTCAAACAGAAATGTGGTAACATAGTCCTTCCATTTAGAGCAAATAGCAATAGTTCCAGTGGTTTTTTGTTTTTATGTGTTTTGATTAAATATGCACATAAATTCCTTTTTTTAAAAAAATTGTGTTGGGGCTGGGAAGGTGGCTCAGTGGTAGAGTGCTTGCCTTGCATGCATGAGGCCCTGGGTTCGATTTCTCAGCACCACATAAACAGAAAAAGCTGTAAGTGGCGCTGTGGCTCAAGTGGTAAGAGCACTAGCCTTGAAGTGAAGAGCTGAGGGACAGTGCCCAGGCCCAGAGTTCAAGCCCCACAACCCAAAAGAAAAAAAAATGACTCTTCATTTATACAACTTGTCAAGTAGACAACAAAAGCTTCCAATAATTTGTCCTGGTCTCCAGCCTAGCTCAGTGGGATTGTACTCAGGAATCACAATTAGAGAACCTGAGGACAATTTAGTGAGCCTTCAACAGAGTGAACCACTTCATTCTTTAGATATAAATAATTTTTTCATATGAAGGGCTAGGTTGCAGCAGGTATTCAAAAGAGAGACATTTGGAAGTGGCACTGTAGCTCAAGTGGTAGAGCACTAGCCTTGAGCTGAAGAGCTAAGGGACAGCGCTCAGGCCCAGAGTTCAAGCCCCACGACCAACAAAAACAAACAAACCAACAAACCTGTATTTTCGAGAGAGATACATAGACCTAAGGTTGTAAATGGACAAATGGTGTCCTCAGATAATTGCCATATCTAAGCAGGATCTCTCAGAAGTGAGGAAGAGCCAAGGAATATGATTTGTCCAGTTGCCTCTTTAATGCAGATGCTTTGTAGTCATCCCTTTTCTTCAGAGGAGCAGGCCTCACCTGCAGCTTTAGAATGTGCCAAGGCTCCAAATCTTCTGGCACCAGACTACCCTTCCTTGTCTGTGTTCTTATCCCACTAGGAGTCTGAATCAGGATTTACTCTGCCACTAAATCCCAGTCTCTCCAGATGTTTCCCCAGGGAAGGGCACATAGTCCCTCTCCTTAGAGAATGCAAGGTAACCTGGACCCCTTGGGCTT